CGCACTTAAAAGAAAGAGCTAAGCTATGGGTTTGCAAAGGGATACAGAGTGGTATAATGGACACTGGAGACTCAGAAGCAGAAGCAGGAGAAAGGGAAAGGACGAAAAACTAGATATTGGGTAGAATGTACACTACTCAAGTGACAAGTGCACTAAAATCTCAGACTTCACCACTACACAATTCATCCATAAAACCAAAAACCACTTGTACCCCTGAAGCTGTTGACATTTTAAATAAATAAATAAATAAATAATAAAAATTAATGAACAAATAAAACTAAAACTGAAAAGAGAGATTAAATATATGTACGTGTTATTAAAAATTACACTAAAAATCCCATCAAGTGTGCTTGAATAGTTATGATGTTTACTAGATTTATTACTTATAAAGCATGAATACAAGGATTTCATTTATCAGTTAGTTCTAAAACATGTCTTTCACCATTGCAGGGGCTAGTCTATAAGTTTTTATATTGAAAAATTTCCCTAGAAAGTTTAGGATATATATATACACACACACACACGTGACACAATCTTTAGACCTCTAAAAGAGTCACATTTTACATTAGTGTCAGGAGACAAGGAACCATCTACTTTATTTACTTTCTGCTTTGTAGGAAAATACATTTGTGTATCAATATGAACCCAGGTGGGTGTGATTGGATGTACAGCACAACCCAAACTCCTGGATCGCAGACTATTTAATATCAAGTTTTATCCCCCTGGCATTTGCTTCCAACTTTATCAAAGTAAAATAATGGTGATATAATCCACATCACTCTACAGTATTTTAATAAACATGCAAATAAATAGCACACAGTGCTACATAATCACTTTTCAAGGTGATTTTTTAAACATAATTTTACTTTGATAAAGTAGCAATAGTCCCCAGATAATTATGGTTTGTGCTAACTGAAAGAACAGTCCGTGTTTCACTGATTTGCACACTTTTGCTCAATTGAAGTTAACAGAATGGGCCACAACTGGAAGTGGAAGTCACTGCTTAATTTATTTGCCACAGTAACACTATAAAGCCAACCACTGGAATCTCAGTCTAGTTTGGAGTAGAAAACCAAAAATGGCAGCCAACACATGATAAGAATCCTCATAAAGGAATATTAGAAAGTGTCCTGTGTAATGCCATCCATCTATAATGGCTACAGTTTCAAGCTGTCTGGATACAGACGGCTGACTAGATGACTTTCCCAACACAAATAAATTTTTAGAAATTTGACCTCATTTCAGGATCATTCACTATGCTTTACATGCAATCCAGAATGCTGCACACATATGATATTCCTTGCCCTCTAGGAGTTTATGTTCTAAACAAAATCCTAGAAATGTTATTTCCCCATAAGGTTGACTTAACTTTTATGTTTTTCATTTGATTACAGCACAAAGATCTACCTCAAAAGTTCAATTTATACCTCAAGGGGAGGGAGCAAGATTAAGGGAGACAACTGAATTCAAACCCATAAAAGTTATTTAATGCATGTCAATATTATACCTAAAAAGTAGTCTTCTGGCTGGGTGCAGTGGCTCATGCCTGTAATCCCAGCACTTTGGGAGGCCAGGGCGGGCAGATCACAAGGTCAGGAGTTTGAGACCAGCCTGGCCAATATGGTGAAACCCCATCTCTACTAAAAATACAAAACTTAGCTGGGCGTGGTGGCATTCACCTGTAGCTACTCCGGAGGCTGAGGCAGAAGAATCACTTGAACCCAGGAGATGGAGGTTGCAATGAGTGGAGATTATGCCACTGCACTCCAGCCTGGGTGACAGAGTGAGACTCTGTCTAAAAAAAAAAAAAAAAATTAGTCTTCTAATGAATTCTTTATTTACACAGCAGAACATTTTCAACAAATGTATAGAGCATTGTTATATTAGGAATCATGAGAGCACAAAAAACACATTCTTGTTCTTTTTTTAAAGTCTCCTACCCAATTCTCCCTCTCATTAGCCACTCATTGAGTGACATGCACAATAACAACACTCTCCAGCTCAAGAAACTGCAGGACAAACATATACGCCCCCATAGGTGAGTCAGTGGGAAAAGTGCAGTACATGACTCATCACCATTTAAAACAGTTCCATCACTGATGCTCTACTGGAATTACTCCATCATCTCCCTGTAACCTTAGAGTTTACTTTAAAAACCCTCCAGGCTAGGCAAGGCTAACATTATTTCCAGTATCATGTAAACCATTGGCATGAAAACATTAAGACAAGTTTAAAACTATGCAAAAAATATATTAAAAGAATCTATTGTTCTACAAATATAATGCAATAAGGAATACTTCAACAAGGTATATACATTAAATTTTATTAGTTTTTATTATTTCCCTTAACTGGGCTATCCCTAACAATTATAGAGTTGTTTTCTTTTATTAAATGGTTAAAAGACCTTCAAAGCTAGAATACAATTTGCCCTTATCTGGAGTAAAGGAGTGGCTATTTAAGAGTGATCATTAGCTGTAATGTAGAATATGAAGCCATGCCTCTCCCACCAACAGCTGACAAGCTCATCAGGTAACAGTGGAACATCAAAGAATGAGGACTTGCTTGTGAGGTGGAACTCAACAACTATCATTTTTAACACGCTTTTAACCATCAACACTCGATCACTTAATTTTTGTTACTATACCAATATCTTAGTTGTCCCATTTTTAAAATAAAGGATATACCAGTAACTGACCAGAAAACAATTACTATATACCCATACATATGAAATTCTATAAATAACTGGTGGGTAGAGGAGAAAGATGTAAAAAGTGATCCTTTCTGAGATTGTAGAGGCCCAGTTTCCTCATTGTGTTCCCACATAAACACTTTCATTGCAGATATTTCAAGCGTTATGCCAGACTTATACAGAAAGAAATCCTGGAGTATGTGTTCTGAATGTGTTGGTAAAGAAAGTCACTTCATTTGAGAGGTCCCTGCCCCTTCAACCTCACCCTTCTTACCAATATACATTCATCACTGAAAAGGGAAATATTTACAAAAGTTAGTTTAGTTATGTTTAAATATTATGTTTAGCTGTCTGGAGACCATGTTCTCAAGATTTATACAAGAAATCAAGGATTAAACTTCATAACAATTAGAAAACCACACTGTGTAAAATCAAAGACTTAGTTAAAGGAAATTAAAATAGTTTTACCATTGGTGTTAAACTGAAATGGCTCCATCTCTTCCCAACACCTGGAACCAAAACCTTTTGAACTTTCATGTAAACAAACCAGGACATGCAAAATGCTCTGTCTGCAGTAAGGTACCACCTCTGCACAGGCATTTGGGTGAAAAATGTGGAAAATGCCTGAGGACTCTTTGAAGCAGCTTAGTAGAAGTGAGAGCAGGAAAGAGGCTCTTCTCTAGGGTAAGTTTGTTTAGTAGAAAGTAAGCAAGTTGTCAGGGTAAAAGTTGACAATGTTGATTCCAACAGTTTGAACTGCGAATAAACATCCAAAGGGATTATGTTACTGAGAATTAGAAAAGATTCCACTAAACTCAATAGAACACTTGCGTTTTCAAAGATAATATGCCTCCAAGCCATACTCTGGAGCCTCGGTTTAGGAGTTAGAATTACTCTAGGCCCTTTCTATGCCACATTAAAGAACACAAGGTCTGACCCCTCTAACAAGTGCCTAAATATATTAGAATAAAGATGGAATAAAAATATTTCATTTCCACTCATTGAGTTGGAAAATATTACACACACACACACACACACACACACACACATTTATAAACACACATGCACACATACATATGAGGTTGACTGAAAAAACCTGAAGAAACATCTATGCTCTTCCCAAACATCTAAACTTAAACCCAGTTTCACTAACCAATTTAGGGAAATACACGCATTGGCCATAAATCACTTTTAAGTTTTCCCTTCTTAATGACCTATCAAAGAGCAAAAAACAGGGCCTATACTTATGAAATCCATAATCCCCTTCTCTGCTCACCAAAGCCACGTTTAAGTCTGGCTTTCATCTCATGCTTTTGGGTTTTTCACCAGGTACAAGATGAAAAGCTGGAAGAGTCTCTTACTTTTCTAAAAGCAAAACAATTTGGTTGCCACTCAGCAATTCCTGGTGACATGCCAAGAAGTCTGTAAAAAAAAAAAAAGTTAAAGTTTTCCTAACTTAGAGCTTACAAAAATAAGTGTGAGATGTTCATAGCCTGTCAGACAATCCATCTTTTTATTTTTTAATGTTCATAAACAAGGGAAAACACATACTTTTGATTTTTTTATTTGGATCAATATAATGTAGATCTGCCTTATGTGGTCTCAAGAAAATGGAGGTAACTTGGACTGCTCTTCTGAGTTCATCTCAAATCCTTAATGATTCTCACATAATATTCTGCTATTACAATCTTTTCCAAAGCCTGACAAAAGCACGCAGCTAGTTTGCTCATTACCAGCAAGTTTGCAAGCGGCCCTGAAAAAAGTTGATTCTCCTTGCAGCCCTGACACATATTCGCTTTCCTCCTAGAACCAAGGATGTAAGGGAGCATGACTCAGTCTCATAGCCTCTTTGCTCTTAAAAAGAAAATCAAATTCCCTAGATATTTCCAAACTCCACCAAGAATAGAACATTCTCTGCTCTGCCTGAAGACCATTATCTCTTTTACATTTCATCTTTATATTCACTGGGTTCACAGAAAGGGCATACACGGAAAGAGGAAAATAGCTGCTTCTTAAAAGACACCAAATTTAGTATTCTCTCAAATCTACTAGCACACATCTAGAAAGTCACATTTTTAAAGGCTTCATTAGGTTTTCATTGGTTCTGTGTTTTGAGAAGAAAACACATGCGGAATCACCCATAACTTCAAACCAAAACATATTTGCAAACTACAAGGAATATTTGTAATAGAGAGATAAGTCATTACAATTTAAAAAGTAATATAGTAGGTGTAGACAGACAGATGTGTACCCCAAATAATAAGTTACTAACTGAATGCTCTAAGATTTCAACCAACTCCAATTGCCTTACCTGTTAATATGAGATTACTGTAAGTATTGGAGAATTGCTCCTTTAGAAGAACCAGATGCATCTGAGCTGCCTTCTCCCTTTGGAGCTCCAGCATAACATCAGGGTGCTGGGCAATCTTGCAGCCTTTCTGTTTATCTAAGGCAACATCACTTCGAACAATGTCTACAAAAAGAAAGAAAGAAGGCAGGCAGCAAAAACTAAAACAAAACAAAAAATAATACACCATCAAAGTCTTGTTTCACCCAAAATGACAGAATTAATAAGCTACCAACATTTTTATTAGCCTAAAGAGATGCACAAGTAATCAATCAGAAGGCTCTCCAACTCCATGACATATCCTTAAAGTTCCTCTGGTCATTTCCAAATTCTTGGGAGATCTATCTGTTCCTTAGCTCTCTGACATCATTTAAGATTCTCACTCCTCAATTCTCCTTCCCAACTCACCTTCAGGACTTATTTACTTCCTGGGGCCTTTTCTTAAGATATCTTACCATTTTCCATGTGAAAAAGTATTATAATGCAATTTTGAATACTAGTAACTATGAAGGTCATTCTCTCTACCTCATGCTAAAGACCAGGTGATAGCTCCAGCATGTGTATTTAGGATACTTGGTCTATCTTTAAATTCACCTGCCAGCCAGCCTACTCAGCTCAAGTTAGAGCTGCCGATCTATGGCTCACCTGGTCAGGGTTTTTTCTGCTATTTTTCATGTACCTCGAGTAAAATAGTTTAATTCTGACTCAGTAATCATTCTTTCAATCCAGAAATATTTTTTGAGTCACTGAAGAGAGCACAGGAGGTCTGGAGTCATGGCAGATCTGCCTTTTCCCCAATTATTTTCCCATACTGCTTTTTATACTTCAGTATGATTTTCATTCAAAGCAGATGTAGTCTCCAGAAAACAGCTTCCTCAAAAAGAAAAAATCACACAGAATGCTTTGGCCGGGTGCGGTGGCTCACGCCTGTAATCCCAGCACTTTGGGAGGCCAAGGCGGGCAGACCACGAGGTCAGGAGTTCAAGACCAGCCTGACCAATATGGTGAAACCCCGTCTCTACTAAAAATACAAAAAACTAGCCAGGCATGGTGGCAGGCACCTGTAGTCCCAGCTACCTGGGAGGTTGAGGCAGGAGAAGCGCTTAACCCAGGAGGCGGAGGTTGCAGTGAGCCGAGATTGTGCCACTGCACTCCACTCCACCCTGGGCAATACAGGGAGACTCTGTCAAAAAAAAAAAAAAAAAAAAAAAAAAGAATGCTTCCCAATTAGCAGGAAGCTCTCATGCCCTAAAGTTATTTATTAATTTTTTACAAATTAAAATATAATTCAACTGACTATCACAGGTATAAATGATACCATCAGCAGTAATCTAGGTGGCAACTCCAAAAACTTGCAAGTTTTGCATAATAAAACTGAAGAATTTTAATGGAGCTAAAAATTAACTGCTTGGCCACTTTTGACACCAATGATTTTGGAAAGAACAAAACTAATGCCCACATTAATGGTACTAAAAGGAAAGCTATATTCAGTAACACTTAAGAGAAAACAGGGCATATGGCAAAAAGGGTGGAACACTGTTCTGGAGAAGTAGTCTTTTCTTTCAGATTTCTAAAAGAAAAGCCCAGGTATAAATACAAACCCATGACTATGAGGGTTAGGATGTGTGCCACATGAAGATAAGCCAGATGTGAAAATAGTCCTCACTAATTCTTAGATTAAAACAGGAGAGCTGAGTAGAATTAATGCAGTATTTATGCCTAAACATGTATATACCAATTTCTTGAATATGGGTAATAAAGTGAACTCATTTAACAAATAACTAGTCTCACAGATTTTCTGAGACTTAAATACAAAAATTGGATAAATTAGTTTAAGAATATACTAGATTTTAAGACAATTCAATAGAAGTCAAGAGGAATAATACAGTTTACATTTATATAAATTATATTCTATAAAACTTTTTGGATTACATCATCTAATTAGATCCTTCCAAAAATCCTATCAAAGTAATGGCAGACATTGTTGACTGGCTGACCCAAACCCTAAACACAATCCCTTCTCCCCTGCCTTCATCTATTATAGAGACTGAAAGCTACACTATACAATTTCCCAGCTTTCCTCGCAGAAAAGGGTAGTCATGTAACATGGTTCTGGAAAATGAGCAGCAGGCAGACATCTTAAAGGGGGACTTCTCTTGTCAGATTAAAAGAGAGAGCCTCACTAAGAGAAACTCAGTTTTTCCCTTTAGTCCTTTAGTCCCTCCTATTCTCTATGTCTAAAACATAGATATGAAGCCCAGAGTTCTAGTAGCCACTTTGTAGCCTTGAGTCAAGAAGCAAGAGTAGGGGTCAGGAACAGTGGCTAACGCCTGTAATCCCAGCACTTTGGGAGGCTGAGGCAGGTGGATTACTTGAGGTCAGGAGTTCAAGACCAGCCTGGCAACACAGTGAAACCCCATCTCTATTAAAAATAAAAAAATTAGCTGGGCGTGGTGGCACATGACTGCAGTTTCAGCTACTTAGGAGGCTGAGGCAGGAGAATTGCTTGAACCAGGGAGGCGGAGGTTGCAGTGAGCCGAGATCGTGCCACTGCACTCCAGCCTGGGCAACAGAGTGAGGCTCCATCTCAAAAAAAAAAAAAGAAGAAGAAGAAGCAGCAAGAAGGTAAAGGATTACACACTAAAGGTGTTGAACAGAAAAACGGAAAGAGCTGAAGTCCCTAACGTCTTTATTAACTTACCATAGCTGTGCTAAACTGCCTATCTCTTAATTTCTTGTCTTATGAGACAAATATACTATTTATATAAGTCATTAATAGTCAATTACTTGTTTTTAAAATTTTAACCTGTTGTATAATCCTAAATGATAAAGAACACCATTATAACCTCTATCTTAAATACGAGGTAACTGAGGACCACAAAGCTTGACTTGCACAAGTTCACATAACCGGGTCAGTCCTCAAATCCAGGGATGTTCAAAGCTAATTTCTGTGCTCTTTCCAGAGCTCCTATATGAAACTCATGAGCTTAATAGTAGAATTACATTAAACAATAAAAGGAGGAACTAAAAAGAAAAACTGAATTATACTATTACAATGGTATTCCATAGACTGTCCATGTGGAAAAGAAATATGGATGATGCTTTCTCAGAAAAGATTATAAAACTTATATCAAAACACACTATAAAAAGTGAAGGAGAGTTTCAATTATCCTGATATCTTCTGATATAAGTCTAATTTGAAGAGTAGAATACCAACTAAACTCCTTATTTCCTATCTAATAAATATATTGCTCAGAATGCAGCAGAAGCAACAATTACAACCGATATCCTCAATATCATTCCAACAAGAACCTTGAAATAAAGTGACTACATTACCTTTATATTAATAACAGTAAGAAAAGAAAACTGTGAACATGGCCAAATGTATGTCCTAAACTTTAGAAAAGCAGATTTCAAAAATATTTAGGGAAAAAATAGATATGCTGTATCTAAAGTATGGATTCCTTATTCAACTCTAATCTGTTTGAAATTGTATCAATGACTAGATAAACACAAAGCAAAGATACTTACTAAAGAAGCACATGGTAATATATCTGGAAGAAGAGTCAGTATCATATATGACGCACTCAAAATTCAAAATTATCTTGGAAATCTAAAAACTTATGCTGAAATCCCAAAAATGGAAGTTAAAGACATGAACACAAAGTCCAACATTTATACTGAAAATTAATGACATAAGATTTAAGATGGGAAAGCCAGACCAAACAGAAGCTCATATACTTAAGATCTTATTAAGATTTGTAGGCTTTGGTTGAATACCAGCTTAATATAAGTCGGTGCTATGATATTGCTGCCAAAATGATTAATGCAATCTTAGTCTAAATTAACAGAACCAAAACATGCAGAATAAAGGAGACAACACAGCTATGCTACATTCCATGCCTACCAAGTGCAGCACAGTCAAGAGTTTGGAGTCAAGCAGACCTCTGTTCAAATCCTGGCTTGGTACTTGCTTATTAGTTACAAAAGTGGCAGACAAAATACCTTTCTAAGTTTCCATTTCTTTATCTACTGTTGTACAGATACACAAAAGGCATTGCACTATGCATACAATAAGAACCCAATGAAGAGTACCTATAATTATTTTTCTAATTAGTATCCTGCTTATGGTATTATATATTTCCAGCTATAATAGTCTCAGATGAATCCTGATAATCTAGAGTACATCCAAAGAAAAGTACAAATATGGAAAATAATGTTGATATTTTAAAACAGCTGAAACGATGATAAAATGGACTTTGGGGACTCGGAAGGAAGGGCAAGAGTCAGGTGACGAATGGAAGACTATACACTGGGAATAGTGTATACTGCTTGGGTGATGGGTGCACCAAAATCTCTGAAATCACCACTAAATAACTTATGCATGTAACCAAACACCACCTGTTCTGCAAAACTATTGAAATTTTTAAAATAAATAAATACATACATATATATACACACAAAATAAAATAAAACAAAATAGCTGAAACTGAGCCTGGCAAACAAAGAGCCAAAGATGACTTGCTTTCAACTATACAGAAGAAATAGTTGACTGATTCTGTGTCAATCCAAAAAGCCAAACATTATGGGAGTACGCAAAAAACAAACCTACTGTTCACTTCTATGTGAGAAAACTTTTTTAACAACAGAAGCTGTCAAATAAGGAAAAGGACTACTTCATGAAGGAGTAAGTTTCCCATCCCTGGAGATACTCAAGCAGAGAATGGGTGACCCAGGCATAATGAAGTAATTTCAATACAGATATTAAAACCTGCCAGATACAAGATTAGATACTTTCACCTATATTATGTGAGGCAATATAGCAGGATGGTTAAAAAGCACAGGTTTTGAATTCAAATATATACAAGTTTGGATCCCTCTAGTACTAATATCTGAGAGCTCTTGGACAAACCACTAAATCTCTCAATGCCTTTCCTAACAAAGAAGGGAATTTCCTTTTTTAGAAACATGAAAATACCAATAGCTTAATTGTAATGAACTTATCACAGTAATAGAGACATATTAGGCATTCAACAAGTGCCATATGTTTCAGTGGTTGTCAATAATAACATCACATTGTAATATCAGAAAGTTATTACTGGAGGATAGTATTTTTTAGGTCATTT